ATGTTGATGTTCTACTTACTTATATGTAAATTGTATCTTATTGTATCTTCTTATGACAATATCTTTATTATATATCTGTCTGTCTATTGTTGTTGTTGTTGTTATGTGCCATCGAGTCTCCTGCAACTCATGGTGACCCTATGTACAACAGCCCTAAACTCTGCTCTATCCTGTGCCAGTCTCACTCTCTCTGACACACCTATCCCGATTACCCCAGTCACTGAATCGTTCTACCTTATAAAGGGTCTTCCTCTCCTGCACTGTCCTGCCACCCTCCCAAGCATGACATCCTTCTCCAAGGACTGGTCCCTCCTTGCAGTATGTCCAAAGGATGTCAGACGAAGCTTCAGAATCCTTGCCTCCAAGGAGCAGCCTGGTTTAACCCTCTCTAAGTTGAACCTGTTCATTTTCTTAGCAGTAAATGGTATATTCAGTACTCTTCTCGAACACCACAGCTCGAAAGTGTCAATTTTCCCTCTATCTTCATTTATCATTGTCTAGCTCTCGGATGCATAGCAAGTGATTGCAAAGAACATGGCCTGTATCGGATGCACCTTAGTCTCCAGAGTGACATCATTGCTATTCAGTACTTTTAAGAGGTCCCTAACAGTAGACTTTTCCATTGCAATACGTCTTTTAATTTCCTGGCTGTTGGTGCCAAGAATGTTGACTGTTGAGCCAAGCAAACTAAAGCTGTGAAAACAATCTCAATCTCTTCACCATCCATCCTGATACTGCCAATTGGTCCAGTGGTGAGAATCTTTGTTTTCTTGATATTGAGCCTCAATCCATATTGAAGGCTACAGTCCTTGACCTTCTGCAGCAAGCAATTACTATGTCAAATATTTCAATATTTGTTATGTTTTATAACTGTAAGTCTTGGTACTTTGGTTACAGGTTGATTCTAAAAATTGAAAACTAGAAAATGTACTAACAAATCATGTTAATTATTATTTATTAGGAAGTGCAGTAATGTGATTGGACTTATGGACAAATAAATAGAATCCTATATCTATAAAACTTAGTTCCTACAAAGTTAACTTTTCCTTTCTCAGTTGATTTTGTTTATCTGAAGTTGAGATGGGCTCACTGATTATAGGAATATACCTTTAACATGCATGTAGTTAGCAAACAACTTGCCACGCATTTCAGGACATTTTAATGTTTTTTGCCTATCATTGCCAGGGAAAACCAAGAGCAAACATGAACCACTCAAGTTACTCAAGACAAGATAGTTTCCATATAACCACTAACATTTAATATTTGAACAAGAACATATGATATTCCTGTGCCCAATTCTAAATACAGCCTAAAAGTATTGAGACTATAAGAGGAGATTGTAAATCACATTGACTTAAAGAATGCCTAAACTCATGACTTTGTAGACAAGCTTACTCACACACAAATCCGTTCTTTTTGTTTGCTTAATTTAGCCTAGTGACGTGTTATTTGGCTTCTCTCTATGCCTCACTAACACCCACTGCTGTTCAATTAGAATCTGCAACATTATGCCAACATTATTTTTGTACTAGCAAATAGAAGCTTTGTCTTGCAATCAGGGACTCCCACTGTAGATGTAGCCCTAACCTAGTTTCCCCAAACTCAGCTACTCTTACTTCCTGTAAAACCAAGTCTACCCAAAACTCTTGAACACCTTTCCATTCAAGCTTTACTTTTCTTGCCTTACAAGACTCCATGCTGTCTTGTTTCTCAGCCATGCAAACCATTGATCATTTCTTTTCTTCTCTTTTCTTTCTCTTTGCTTGATATTAATTGTAGTATCATCACCTACCACGTCTATGTGTCTAATTCTCAGATCCTCATTCCTAGACCCAAACACTTACATCTGTAAGTTTGTCTTTGGTCTGAGACTACATGCCTCTTGACAGATATTTCCTCTACATATTCCTCCACTACCAACCTTGAAGCATTTTTAGAATTCAAATCCATAGTGTTCATACAGAGCCTGCCCCTTATTCTTTATTCTCTGTCCTCATTATTGTTGACTAAAAGCACAATCAAGCCAGACATCTAAATTCAAAAGTCCAAGGTTAGTCATGATTCATGTCTTGATGTACTAAACACTGAAGTATGTTCTTGGTTTCATTCTCATTGCATTGGTTTGAGGACCTCTATGCATAGTCTTTTTAAGAACAATAGCCTCACTCTTTCTTTGTGGAGTGGATTCTAACATCAAGTCTTCCCATGGCATAACCATCTCTCAAGATGATACTGGGGTTCTTGCTTCTCTTCTTTCTGGGTTTCTCTCCTTCCTTTTAAATTTTTTCTAGAGGAATGTATACAAGCTAGTACATCTAATTTCTTTCCTATTTAATCCTTTTCCTACTTTTCTCCTTTGGTGCTTGCATTCCAGGATAGAATGTATGTATGGTTAGAAAGAACTTGGCTATGGAATCAGAGCTAAATAAAGACTGTGATCTGGGACCTAGTAATTTATCTTTCATCTTGTTAGCGAAGCTCTTGGAAGGTCTGCTGTATTGTATGCTGAATGGAAGATGGACGGTATTACCTTCTTATTTTGGCTGATGTGAAGACTTAAAACATTCAAAGTTTTCATACATGCTGCCGCTCTCAAATCTCAACCCGCATGCTTTTCAGCTCAGTTATAGTGAGTAGGGCTTGATGGTTGTCATGAAAACCTATGAGAAGAACTTCTACAGGGGCTCATTCATTTTCCATTTCCTGGGAATGACTGGTTCTATCTGTATCAGGCTATCAGACTGATAGGAATATATTCAATTAATGCATTTACCAAGACAGAGTACCTTCTTTATTCTTTCCTTGGATAGACTATTCTAATGTTGAACTTTCCTTATTTTGAAGATCTTTTTAAAAATTTGATCACACGTAAACCTGTTGTTGTTGTTGTATACCATCGAGTTAGAACCGGCCCATAGCTGACCTTCTGGGTGGGTTTTCAGAGGCAGTTAATCTCACATCCTTCTCCAGCAGAGTAGCTGGTGGCCTCGAACCTTGTGCCTTCTGTATTACAGCGCAGCTTCTTGCCGCTAGGCTGCCAGAGCTCCCTTAAGTAAACCTGGAGAGCACTTTATTTTCTGTAAGGTGACGTGATCATGAGCCTGAGCCTTAGTGCCCCTTACAACCAGATTAACTCTGTGGCACTGACTCTCTAACATATTTAAACCAGGAATTTTAATACCTCCCATAAGTTTACTCTGAATAGTAAATGAAATTATTATGTGTAAAAAAAAGTATTTTACAACAACCAGCCCAATGTACATGTTCAATAAATGGTGGTGATTGAAATTTAATTGTATCTTCTTTCCAATGAACGGGTATGATTTTTTAAATGTTTGTTTTATAATGGTTTGTGTACAAAATTCATATACATTGCATTTCACACTTTCCTTCATTCACATTGTGTTTCATACAGTCATTCCCATACATTATATTTTTTTATTATTGTTAATTTTAATAGACATTTACAGAGGTTTAGGATTTCCATTCATTCATTGCCGCACTTTTCTCCCTGCCCACCCCTCCCCACCAGCTCACTTCCCCCTCCAAGAGATAAAGAAAAAAAATTCCTTCATTAGTATACAATTCCCACGTCTGTTACCCCCCATCCTCTACCCCAAGTACATTTCTCTATACAACCTTAATTCTGGATTCCTGTGCTAACCATAATACTCAATCGTATCATACATTATATTTTATAAAATTAATCACCACTGAACTATGCCCACCATTACCCCGCCTTTTCAGGTGTCCACCAAATCTTTCCAGTTTCCTTTACTCCCTCCCTCCACCAACCAAATTGTGTAGCCCCCATGATTTCCCCCCTACCCACGCTCTGCTCCCACTCCTTCCTCTTTCAAACCCTCATACACATTTTACTAGTTAGCCTTCTATTTTTACAAAGATGGTCTTATGCAGGATATGTCCCTATGAGACTGAGTTAGTTCTGAATGGGTATCCTATTATTTAAACCTTGGGAGAATTCAAGCTTACTTAAAAAGCAACAGAAATAAAAATCAGTGTTGGAAAAATTTACAAACAGTATGGGCAGTTACTTTATATAATAACAGTTTATGCATACAGTGTTTTGGAAACTAGGCAATCTCCTTGAGTAAATTAAATGTGTGCCTCTTATTTATGCAGTGTCTTATATGAAGGCTGAGGGTGGCAATACTGTTATCTCTGAAAAGTGATGACCTGTATTTTCAGGATGTAATGTTGTCCTAGGGAGCTCTGTGCAGGGGTTAAAACAGTAGGAAGCTACCTGAAAGGAGCCTGTTGGAACCATTAGTGTCCCTGTGGGTTTGAACAGAGCTCAAAAGCAGTGTGTTAGCTGTAATACTGCTCTTAAGTTTCATTTGCTAGAGAATTATGATGATTCAGAGAAAATAAGTAGCATCCTAGTTCTCTAGTTGAAATAAATCTCTGTTACAAAGGAAAAAGAAAGAAAGAAAGA